ACTCTTTCCGGTTCTGCTCATTGGTTTTGCTATTGTCCTTTTCTTTGCATCAGCAGCACTTAAAATAATACCTTTGGTGTGTCTGGTTTTGCAATGAGTTCTGTGTGGGTAAATCCTATTGATTTTCGTGGGGCTCTTTGTGGGCACAGGGGTTTCTGCTTAGACCTCATTGCAGATTTTGAGCTGTAATACAAATGCCTACTGTATTCAACAAGGTTTTCCTGAAAGGGTGAGAAATGCACTGTCCTGGAGGGTCAGGGTTTTTTTTAATTTCCCCCTACTATGTATTCTTCCTCAGAAACTTTCTTTTACATTTAACTGTTTAAGATATAACTAAAGGTGTGCAGTGTTTTTCCCTGTTTCCACACTTTCCCTGAACATATTGAGACCATTTGATAGCTTCCACACCTCCCTTTACTAAAAATCTTATGGGAAACTGTACATCCTGTATTCATCTATGTGAAATGATTTGTAGCTGCAGCAACATTCTTTAATAACTTACTGCAAGGCATTTTATGAAATCATTAGTAACAAATGTTTAACAGATATTAGGGAAAGGAACAAGGATCTCCGGTATGTGTGGGCATATGTGTATATAGCAAGAGAGTGAGAGCATGTGTACTCATGTTAAAATATATGGGTGAGAGATCTTAAGGGATTGAGCAAGAGAAGCTGGTATTTTGGGGGTTCAGGTGCATATTGGGTGGGTGTTGACATGACCTTTAAAGCCTACCAGAGAGGAGTTTCTATGTGTAGCCCAGCTGCAGGAAATACGGCTCTTTGATAACTAGGTTTGAGTTTTGTTTTTTAGGGAGCTACAGGTATAACAGAATCCATGTAGCTGTGGAATGGGAGTCTGGGACACTGAGAAGAGGTTACAGAGATTCAAGTCCCTCAGTCTGTTCTGGTGAACAATGGGAGATGAGGCAGAGAATGATTAAAAAATAAAGGGGTATTGGTTGTAGCTGTGTTGACCTAAGGACTTTAGCAGACAAGGATGTTTGGGTAAATCTGATATATTTTATTAGACCAACTAAAATAGTTGGAAAAATTGTTCTTTACAAGCTTTCGGGTACAAACGCCCTTCTTCAGGCAGATGCTCCCTGTGCCTGAAAAAAGGGTGTTTGTACCCGAAAGCTTGCAAAGAACAAATTTCCCAACTACTTCAGTTAGTCTAATAAAATATATCAGATTTACCCAAAGGACGTTATCTGCCTAAAAGATAAAGGATCATTCCTCAGATGACTGTGGCCATTTGTTGCAAATTGGGTATATGGCTTTGTAGCTGCTTGGTACCTGAGACTGCTACTGAATGCTCAGGAAGCATCTGTGTGGAAGAACATGTTTCTCCTTGCGTCGGTGGTAACTTGAGTGAGATCTTTTGTTCTGGATCTTATGTCTGTCCCTGCCTTTGTCATCCAGAGATTAGACTACTATAATCTTCTCTGAATAAGACTACACCTGAGAGCACTCAAGTTGAAGTTAGTCTAAAATTTAGCAACTCCCTTATTAAGTGGGCTTTGCACCAGGAGTGCACAATACTAGTGTTCTGCAAACTCTTCTGATTTGGAGCCTCGATAGAATTTAGGGTATTTTTATTGACCATTACAACTTTAAAGTAATTGAATCCGAGTCTTAAATTAACCTGAGCAGCCCTCTCTGAGCTAGATGCTGCAGTTACTGTCAAAGGAGGTGCTTGGCTGGAAAAAGCTTTTGATATAGAAGAGAGGCAACTTATTCCCTGTGTGTGAATAATTTTTATTGAAAGTAAAATATTCTAAGCTCCCTAGGTGATTCAGGAACTGAAGTCACTAAAATGGGATTAAAGCTCCTAAATTACTTCAGGTGTTTTTGTAAGTGTTATGCTCAGTGTGTAATTTTTTTTTTTGAGAGTGATCTGACACAAAGATACCATAGTGCTCTCTTTCTCTTGCTCATCTTGTTCCTCTTTTCCAGGTTGGCCTTCATTCTTCGATGTGATCAGTCCTGATGCAATTACTTTCACTGATGACTTCTCCTATGGGATGCACAGGGTTGAAACATCCTGTAATCAGGTTCGTTGATAGCACACAGAGACCATTTTGATCTTTAAAGGCTGCAAAAATCATTATCTCACATTCTAGTTTCACAGCAAATTGCAAACCTTTTTGTTGCAGTTTAAATACTAAGCATTTTAAGATTTTTATGATGGATCATAGGTATAACAGATGAGTGCCAGTTGGACTGTTTGTTACGCAACATAAACAATATTTACTACAGCATGCATAAATGGTCAGAAGCAATGGTGGCTAGTCTACAAAAATTGCCTTTCTGGAAATCCTGCTGTCCTACCTTTTTAATGGAATAGTTTAGACAAAATTTGGAAGCACTATAACAGAATCTATCATATGCATTACTGAGGCACAGTTTTAACTGAACCTATTCCCAGGGCATACTTAGTGGCATCAGGCAATTCCATTTGTCATAATAACAAAGTCAGTAATGCCAGCATCTCCCAGACTTTCCATTATTTGTCTTCTTTAACTTGCTTGCTTCCTTTGTGCTACTCTGCTTTTTGTGAAGTGAATGGCATAATCATTACCTAGCAAAGAGGGAGACTGCTGACCTGGCACTTAACAAAAACTCCCAGCAGGTCATAGCTATCCAATTCCAGTTGCTTCTGGTAAGGCAGCAACAACTTCCTTTGTGCTGTAAAAATCTGCCTTTCTGTTCCCGGATAGCATTGAGGATGGGTTAATTGATTCATTACTGATGGAATACATTCTTGCTGATCATGCTACACTTATACATAAATAATCAGAGTAAGTAAAGAGACTTTCAGAAATGCTACAGCATTCTAACAGGCCCAATTCTGTTTCCATTTAAATTAAGGGCAACATTTTCATTAACTTGAGTGTGGATTCAGGATTGAACCTAACAAGGCCAAGTCTGAGTCAGTCTGAATGGAAATATCTATGACTACAATTAGAAAAATTGTATTAGTTTTTCCTTGGTAGCATGCAACAGGAAATCCATTTAACATGCTTTTTTAGCAGCTGTGCTCAAAATATTTTAGGAACCCCAGAAGCTCTTCTACCACCCCTTACTGCAAAATACTTTAACACCTTGTAGGAGAATTTATTGCATACACAATATTACTCAATATTAAGGAAACTCAAACTGTGTTGTTTTTATTTCATAATAGAAAGAGGCATTATATGAACTTATATTTCTCACTTCAATTTTCACTTTCTTGAATTGCTTTTGGGGCTTATACATTAAAGTGCTGAGTAGTATTGGATACAACTCTGTCCTACACCTGACACTGAATCAGTTCATGCAGAGCCTGAAAGGAAAAAGTGTTGAAGTAAAAATATAAATTATAAAGTACACGGCAATGTACATTTTAGACTGATAACAGTCGGTGAAATTCTCACCATTGGATGTCCCTGGTATAACCTTAGGGCTAGCAAGCATGGGACAGTAGCTTTTTTTTCAACTAATGAACTTGTCCTCGCTTGTATATAGTTAATAACTGTGATTCTCAACCAGGGTGCTTTGGGGGCCACAAGATGTTAGCACTGTTAGGTGTGCAAACATGATTCACAAAATAAACTTAGCAATTTCAAATAAGAATTGGTAGTGTTAAAAACATTCTGCCCTGTTGTGATCTGTTTGAGCTCTTTGCAACAGAAGAATTGCTCTAATATTTTTTCTGTAGTAAAAAAATGAGTGAAAACTAAGAGTGGCATTTTCCAAGGGGTGTCTTATTCTATGGAGAGGTGCCTTGAGCCTAAAAAGGTTGAGGACCACTAGTTTATTACCTAAGATAAGAGGCAGAGCAATAAGAAATGTTCTCTGTATCATGGGGCAATGTTTAGCTCTTCAATTTTGAGTTAGGATACACTTCTTTAATTAAGTTGATGAACTGATTTTGAGGAAGGCTAATGAATATTCCTGAATGGTCTGGGAGAGAATGTAGTTTCTCTACTGATAGCTAGAACTTTAGGACAGTCTTTTATCCTCAAACTAATGATGACAAGATCTCACAGATTGTCTTCCCCAGCTTTATTGTTATAACTAACCTGAGATGTACAGGACTTAAGACTAATTGGAGGGAAGCCAGTTAGCATGCTGTTGGCAGACATTTCGTGCCAGTTCTCACTGACAGTGACATAAAGGTATTTCTAAAAACCAGAGCAAAGTCAGTTTACCTTCATCATAGAACGCCCTAAATTTTGATCAGTTAATTTGTTTCAAGTAGTTGGCCCGCTGGCTAACTTCATTTTAATGGCTGATAAAATATCCTCACAAATTTGGATTTTTGTTGTTGTTGTCAGGTAAAATCATTCAGACAGAACCGTTGGCTTCCATGGACATATGAGCTGGATCCAGATGTGCAGGCACATGTGGTTTGTGGCACCGCAAACCTCTTTGCAGTGCCACAAACCACATGCATTGCACTTTGAACTATGCAGCGCTGCTACTTTGCAGCGCCAAGGCAAAATTTGCTACCAGGATTTCCTGGGGGCAAAAAAAAACCCAGATAAAAAAGGCGGTACAAAGCATGCCCAAGTGCCATGGGCCAGGACAAACGCAGAACTGAGGGAGCCCCTGTGCTGAGATACCCTGTGCCGCAGCCAAATGGGGAGTGGCACATGGAGAAGGGGGAGGGGGGAAGCAGGCAGCCTTGGGCTACCTGGTTCCCTGTCTCCACATGCTGCAGAGCCCCCATCTTGAGCCACCCTGCTCCCCAGCCAGCTGTTCCCCAGCTGGATGCGGTGCAGTCTGCCTCAAACAGGGGAGCAGGCAGCCCAGGGCTGGCTTCTCCCCTGTCTTTGTGTGCCTCAGCACAGGGGCTCCATTGTGTAGCCCCCGTCTTGAGGCACACTGCACCCCAGACAACCACTCCCTGGCTGGCTGGGGTGCAGCGTGCCTCGAGATGAGGGAGCAGGGAGCCCAGGGCTGGTTGCTGTCTTGTCTCTGCCTGCCTCAGTATGCAGGCTCCCTGCAGCTGGCTGGGGAACAGGGTGCCTTGAGATGGGGCCTCCATGTGCCTCAGTGTGGGAGCTCCACAGCAGAGCCCCTGTGTTGAGGCACATGGAGACAGAGGAGCAGCCAGCCCAGGGCTGCCTGCTCCCCTGTCTCGAGGCCAACTGTGCCCCAGACAGTCAGGGAGAAGCTGGCTGGGGTGCAAGGTGCCACCAGATGGGGGCTCCACAGCTCAGAGCAAGGCTGCCTGTTTCTTCATCTCCATGTGCTGCTCCCCAATTGACTGGGGCACAGGGTGCCTCAGCCTGGGTGCTCCGCAGTGCATGAAGAGGCATGAAGAGGGCAGTGTGTCTTGAGGCAGACCGTGCCTCAGCAAGCCTCTCTGCAGCACATGGAGCTGTGGGACAATGTGTCCTGCTGCAAACTGCACAACTAAGAGCATGCCCTGCAGCACAAAATAGCACCACAAATTTGTTCTGCTATGAATTGTGCTGCTGCAAGCTGATGACCCTGCTTGTGAAGACACAGCCATGGAGGGAACAAGTACTAGGTCTTCTCTAGCTGTTTTAGAGCAGTGTTAATCCATGAAGTAGTGAAAGTGTTGACAATACTTTGCCATAGCCTGTGCTTAGGACCTACTGTATTATTTCACATATCACGTGTCCTCAGATTAGAAATACACCTTGTTTTTGGGAAGGCAGAATGAAGAAAAAAGATTTTTATGGAATTGTGGCTGCATAGAGCTGGGGTAGAGCCTAATGACTTACCCTCCCTTTCATCCATATGCAGAAGGTATGGTTAACCTTTTCATATCTGAATCGGATGCTTTTATCTGAGCAGGGGAAGGAGGTTAAGTGAGCTGAAGAACTTGAAGATTAGGTTTTATTCAGCTGCGAAGGGGTTAAAACAGTAGCTTCTGCCAAAGACCGGACTCTGCTTCTTCTTCCATGTGGTCACTTGGAAGAAGAGAAAGAAAAGAAACAGGAGCTATTTTACATTTTAGGTGTCTCCATACTTCTGTTCTGGGCAGAAAAATAAGCTTCCCTGCCTGAGAGACACACTTTCAGAGGGCTAATTTTGGGTAAAAGGGGTGCATGTGATGTTCAAGTAAATATGGTACATTCATCTGGTAACAGCTTCTATTTAATCGGTAAATAAAACAATGGCAGAAAACCTTCAACTAGACAAGCGTCTGGACTCCTCATACACATAGCTAACCTAAATTAACTAAAACTACTCATGAAAAATACCTGGCCATTACTGTGGCCAACTCAGTGAAAAAGATTTGCTCAATATATTTCAGTGCTCAGAACAGGAACCTAGAGGTGTATAAACATTGAAGTATAGAGAATAATGCTGTAGACTTCATAATGTCATTATGTAAATCAATGGTATGTCTTCATCTAAATCAGGGGTTTTCCACCTTTTTGGGCAGTGTACCCCAGCGGCCAGACAAGGAGCAGTGTACCCCCAGTGGCTGGACATGGAGCAGGGGCAGGGAGGGGGGCCAGATGCGCAGTGGCAACAGCCACTGTGTGCGAGCTTTCCCCACTCCCGTATCCGGCCGGGTGGGTGGTACCTGCACACAAGCACAGGATGGTGCATAGTAGCGCTCTGTCCCTGCCAGCCCATGTGTACCCTGTAGGGCCTTCTCAAGTAACCCTGGGGGTACGCGTACCCTGGGTTGACAACCCTGATCTAATGCTTTGTTCATTTTTAGTCATCCTGTCTCTAAAAGGATCTCGCAGAAAAGGGGGAAAAACATCACGCAAAAATAATAACATTAAATTAGAGGCATGCAAAAATTTCCAGAAGACAAGATACCTACCCCTTATGTTATAAAGAGTGTGTTTCTCAGTCTATAATATTTGGCTAGCTATATGATCTGAAATTCATACCTGGCAGTACATCCAGAATAACAAATGCTTTTACGAGGTACTTTATAGAGCAGTGGTGCTCAGCCCATCCAGCTCTGCGGACCTGCTCCGAAATACTGCCACTGCTTACCCACTGCCAAATTCCAGATCCATTGGGAGCCCCCTGGGCTGGACAGCACAGCTCTGCAGGCCAGATCTTGGTTACC